GTAATGCTTCCCTCGGTCTGACTACGCCTGACTCCACTGCTCAGATCGAACACCGGAAAAAAGAGACAAGCGGCCAGGATGCGCCTCCTGATGGGACAGGATCAGAAATACAAGCCAACTCCCGTGATGTCTATTTACTGGAAAAATGAATGTGAGACTCATCAAACACTAGATCTAGCAACCAGTCTACAAGAAACACAGGACGCAGAGGAACATATGAAATGACAGGACCAAATGTCTCTGTCCCAACGGCCCAGTGTCTTCATCAGAGAAACTGCAAGGAAGGAGAACAAAGAGGAAGAACCGAAGATTTAAAAAAAAAAAAAAAAAAAAAAAAAGATTTAAGAGACACATCAATCAAGTGCAAGGTGTGGACTTCGTCATGCGTCTGTATGATGGATATTGGGCAATCTGAGCTATTTGGTGATGTCTGGGTTTTGCTTGGCAATAATTAGTGCAGCTGGGAGGGAGCTGGGCTGAGCAAGGTTGGCCTCGTTGTTGGTAACTGATGGAGCAGAATGGCAGGCTTCAAAAGGATTTATCCTTCTGTTTGCTTTATTTTTACATATGTTCGAATTTTTTCCCCTGAGCTTTTTTCTGACCGGAGCAGATGTCCATCAGGACTGGACAGCAGGGGTCCATCCCTGGCTGGAGTCAGTGGACCCCCCCCGCCAAGGGAAGGACGCACCAGGTCACCAGCAGTACCTCCTGTGGCCACAGGGTGGCTCTAACACTCAAATTTGTGTGACCTCTGTGGGGCGGGCTTCTGCGAACCAAGGTCATCATGGAGAGTGGCAAGACAGACCTAAACGCCTGCTCACTGTTATTAATTCATAATGTGAAATGTGACTACCCAGTTCTTAGTATCTAGTAGGTTCCCTAGGCGGGAAGCCTATTATAAGCAGAATGCCCCACACTTGCAGCTGCGGGAGCCCCAAATTCTGTCATCCTTGACCCCTTCCTTTTTCATCACTCACTCATAGCCCCATGTTTAGACCTTCTTATCTTTTAATGATCTCTTGATTCCTGACACTTTGTTCCACTTTCTTTATTCCACTCTTGCCCAATCTCATTCTGTCCGTCCTGGGATCACTACAGCAGCCTCTTCCCATGCCTGCTCCCTAACATCTCAAAATCCGTTCTCCACATTGCAACCAAAGTCATCTTCTAGAACACAGACCTGACCAGGTCCCTCCCCCTGGCTGCAAGCCTCGCACCTGTGTCTGCCCATCCCCCCCCACCCCACCTTAATCTCTTCTTCCCCTCCCATTACTGGCCTCCAGACACACCAGCTTCTTTCTGTTCAAAGAACAGACTGGCCTGTTCTGGCCTCGTTCCCACCTAAAGGACCTTTGCCCTCGCTGTACCTCCGTCTGGAAAGTTCTTTCCCCAATCTTTTCCCCATGGCTGGTTGACTCCTCTACATTCTCTTTGTTCCACAACTTTGGAAGATCTTGCAAAAACAGGTCCTGGGTTTTGCTCACTTGCAGTGGTTGAAAGTGTTTCCTTCGTCTGTGAAACGTCAGACTTGACAACTGTTACTGGGGGAGGTTGGTAATGACAGTGGCCTGGGCTTCCCATTCCCAGGAGAAAAAGTCATGTGAATTAGAGGCGAAGGGAGGACCCCTTCAGTCCTTGGGTCTTATCTGTGCACTCAGAATATTTTCATGCTTGCTGTGCTGTGCTCACACGGAGCCTATCTCTCATTGTACTTAGGACATCAACACTGTCGCTTGTTTTGAGGGTCTCATATGGATGAGGGTCACCTCCAAAGAGAGAAGCAGTTGGGTCCACTGTACTTTGCTTGTCCCTCCTGAGATGAAGACAGAGTTTTCCTGTCCCTCCTGAGATGGGGGAAGGTTTGAAAATATTTTCAGAACTCTTTTTAAAAAAAATTTTTTTTTAAGATTTTATTTATCCACTTGGCAGAGAGAGATCACAAGGAGGCAGAGAGAGAGAGGGATGCAGGTTCCGCGCTGAGCAGAGAGCCAGATGCGATGAGGGGCTCAATCCCAGGACACCGAGATCATGACCCTAGTCAAAGGCAGTGGCTTAATCCATTGAGCCACCCAGGCGCCCCTATTTTCAGAACTTTAAAACGGTTCAACAGTTAAAGAAAAAACCTCCCCTACACACCTGAGAGCTCAGAAAGCCCGTGCAGGTAACATGTGATTTCCGTCCAATTTTTCTGGAGTAAAAAAAAAAAAAAAAAAAAAAAAAAAATTCAGAGACTTGGTTGAATCTCACTCTTTATACAGATAATTCCTCCGAAAAGTCTAAATGATTGTGTTTTTTATTTTGTGGGTTTTGGTGACCACATTGTCTCCATTGTGAAATTTAAGACTGCGCTGCCCTTTAAAGAGATGGTTTTATAGGAAAATGTCACTGCATAGATTCAACGTATAGTTGTTTAACATATAGGGACCATCAACCCCAGAAAGTCATTTCTTCTTTTTATAAAGCAATTAAAAAAATTTTTAAGATTTTATTTATTTATTTGACAGAGAGCGATCACAAGTAGATGGAGAGGCAGGCAGAGAGAGAGAGAGAGAGAGAGAGAGGGAAACAGGCTCCCCGCTGAGCAGAGAGCCCGATGTGGGACTCGATCCCAGGACCCTGAGATCATGACCTGAGCCGAAGGCAGCGGCTCAACCCACTGAGCCACCCAGGCGCCCTTATAAAGCAATTTAATGTCTCAATGATAATATTATAGAAGACCGAAAAGGAAACCTTAGGAAGGGCTATCGCTTAAAACTTTTTTATTTTAAATAATCTGATTTATGGAAGAGTTGCAAAAATAATAGAGAGGGGCACATGGCTGGCTCAGTACATAGAGCAGGTGACTATTGAGCTGGGGTCATGAGTTCAAGCCCCAGCTTGGGTGTAGAGCTTACTTAAAATAATAAATATAAGGGGTGCCTGGGTGGCTCAGTTGGATAAGCGTCTGACTCTTGGTTTTAGCTCCAGTCATGATGTCTGGGCTGTGAGATCCAGTCCCTTGTCTGGCTCTGTGCTCACCGGGAAGTCTGCCTGAGATTCTCTCTCTCCCTGTCTGCCCCCCTCCCAAATAAATAAATCGTTTAAAAAACATATATATAAAATACAGAGAATTCCCATGTACTTTCGAGACCTGCTCCATCATTGCCTCTCTTTCTGGCTCTACAGACACATACATATTTTTCTAAACCATTTGAGAGTAAATGCTCCTTTACCCCTAAAATAGTGTGCTTTTTCTAGCAAGGACAGTCTTTTCCATAACAGCAGTAGAATTATAAAAAATGAGGAAATTAACACGGTTATTACTGATACCTAAACTAGAGACCTCATTCCAGTTTCCCAGTTGTTCCACTGATGTCCTTTGCAACAAAAGATAGTGTTTGAGACTTTTTTTTAAAAAGATTTTATTTATTTATTTGACAAACGAAGATCACAAGTAGGCAGAGAGGCATGCAGAGAGAGAGGAGGAAGCAAGCTCCCGGCCCAGCAGATAGCCGGATGCGAGGATCGATCCCAGGATCCTGGGACCATGACCTGAGCCAAAGGCAGAGGCCTTAACCCACTGAGCCACCCAGACACCCCTGAGGCCTTTTTTTTTTTTTTTAACCTGGTCTAAAATCCATCATATTTCTCAAGTCAAATATGTCACATCTCTTTAGTCTCCCTAAATCTGGAAAAGTTCTTCAGTCTTTGTCTTTCATGATCTTGAGCAAACACCTCCTCACTATCTCTGAGTTCTGAATTTTTTTACCCACTGGTTTAGAAAAAGGAAATGTATCTATTATATTGGGGTCCTCAAAGACAGAAATATGTTTCCTCTCAATTTTGACATTTTCTACAACAAAGTTGAGGAATGAATCACTCATTTTTCGAAGGGCCTTTCCTTGCGTCTCCTTTTTAAAAAATATATTTCTAGCACCTCTTACCCTGCGGATTTTTTATTCCTTTGTATGTTTGTGGCTCATCTAATCTCCTTAATGAAGAATATAAACTCCGGGAAGGTAGAGCCTTCCGACTTGTTTCTCAGGGATAAGAGCCCCGCACTTGCTAGCGGGTCAATGATTATTTGTTGAATGGATTTAGGAATCAGAAATGGCCCCTGGGCGTGCGTGTTTAGCTTAGACCGACCTAAAAGCGCCAGGGTGGAGTAGAAAAGAGAACTTCCGGTACTTGGGCTGGGGAGGTCCCGGGCACGCAGGGACCTGACCAGGGAGCAGAGAGCAAGGGGAGAACTTTCCGTTCTGCCGGGATCTCAGCAGAGGGCCCAAGGTCAGAGAGAGCGCTGACAGTAAGAGGTCCTCGGACTGCTGCTGGCCCACACCTCCGAGAGATAAGGAAATTCGAGCACAGTCGGCGCCGCCGCCCGCTCCCTGCCTCCCAGCGGGGCAGGGCTCGTGCCCTTGGCGGGGTCACCGCTCCCTCCCCGGACGCGCCTCGCTTCCACGTGCAGAGCCAACTTTTGCTCTCTGGCGATTCCCTCGCCACTGAGCCAAGTCGTCTGGGGGTTCGAGGGGAGGGGGAGGTCACAGGATCAAGGAAGGTTCCGGCCCGGGGTCCTCGGGTCATCAGGGACACCGTGACCATCTAGTAAGTGACGGCGGACAAGGAAGGGGCATCCACGTCTCCGCGTTCCGTTCCCGCGCCTGCGGCGGCCCAGGGTGGTGGGGAGCACGAGGAGGCGGAGGAGGGAGAGCGTGTCCCTGCCTCAGGCCCGGCGACGCCCTAAGACGGGCTTAACGGGGACAGCGGTGTCTGGAGAGCACCTCGAGCCGCGGGCCCTCCCAGGCCAAGCGGCGGGGACCGAGGGCCGCACCGCGCCCCTCGCGGCCACCCGCTACTCGCTCCACCGCGGAAGGCCGCCGCCGCTCGAGAAATGACTGCTCTCGCGAGATTTCCCGAGATCAGGCCGCCGCGCCCGCGGACGCGGTTGCCAAGGTAACTGGGAGGCGCCAGCGCAAGCGGGAAGGAGGCGGCGGTCGAATTTTTGCTTACCCGCAGGCGAGACTAGAGGAGTGGCCCTTCCTGAGCTTTCAGCCCCGCGGAGCGCGCCCTCCGCTGCAGTCGGTACCCCTGCCCCCGCGGGGCCATGGGCCGGATCTCGGGGCTCGTGCCCTCTCGCTTCCTGACGCTCCTGGCGCATCTGGTGGTCGTCATCACCTTGTTCTGGTCCCGGGTAAGACCCACGGCCACCGCCTCCCGCCCCCCAACTCCATTCCCACCTTGGGGTGCTCCCAGCCGCTCGGCGCCACTTCCCCAGGACCTTACGTGGGCGGGTCCTCCCGTCCCCCTCTGACCCCGGTGCTGCCCCGCAGCCCGCCCCTCTTTCACTTTCTTCCGCTCTGCTCTGCTCCCAGGACAGCAACATCCAGGCCTGCCTGCCTCTCACGTTCACCCCGGAGGAGTACGAGAAGCAGGACATTCGGTGAGCGCTCGGGGGGGAGGGGGGCGGGGGATGCAGGGTGGTCGTAATTCAGCGGTAGTGGGAGTGGAGGGGTCTTCGAAGAAGTCCAGGAGGCCTGAGCCTGCCCCCTTCCTCTCTGCAGGCTGGTGGTAGCGCTCTCTGTCACCCTTGGCCTCTTTGCAGTGGAGCTGGCGGGTTTCTTTTCGGGAGTTTCCATGTTCAACAGCACCCAGAGTCTCATCTGTATCCTTTTATGCACGGCGCATTTCCATCTCCACTCCCTCCAGCCACCTAACTCGTGCTCTGGCCGGGGCAAACCGCCTCTCCAGTTCACAGATCTTCTTAGGCAATGTGGAAGATTTAATACAATCTTAGGTCGTTTGTTAAACTCCCGCGGTGCACCAAGCACTGAAGATCCCAAATGGGAGTAAAAGACAGTTTTCCACCTTGAGGAAGAGGCAGATGCTCAGACATTCTGTAACCCAGTGTGAGCAGCTCTGGGCTATAGGAGTGTGTAAAGATAGGAAGAGGCACTATGGAAACTCAGAAGAGACAGCTAGATAAATGAGTAAGAGAGAGAGAGATGAACAAGATGGACTGGGGAAGGTTCTTGACACTTGAATTGTAGCTGGGAAGACCAGGCTGATGCCTGGTGATTTCCAGCAGTATGTCAAGTCACACTGTGAGTATTCTCGTGTGCCTGGGGCAGATGGGGTGCCTACTCCTGGACCTGTAGGATCCAGGTTAGCCCCTAGACACTGGGTTGGGGTAGCCTGGGATCCCAACTGTGCAGGCCCAGCCCTGGTCTGTACTCACATGGCTGTTCTAGAACTCAGAAGTCAGGGCTGCAGGCTTTGGCCTTTGCAGTGTGGTGCGGGAGCTGGGGGTGAAACAGTGCAGACGCCGGTCCCAGCAATGCCTTTTGTGGCTCATCACCACCTATTGAACCAAAGGCTTTCCTTGACTCTAGTGCATTCCCAAGCCATTGGGGCTCACTGTAGTGCGTCTGTGGCCCTGTCCTTTTTCATATTCGAGCGTTGGGAGTGCACCACGTACTGGTACATTTTTGTCTTCTGCAGGTATGATGGCCGCCAATGTTTGGGATGGGGGAGGAAAGTCTACTCATTCTGAAGGTTTCCCCCATGCAGGCCTTTACTCCATGGTCTGGGGGGATATAGCAGATCCACTCAATCTGCTATAGTCTCTTGAAGTCCCCCATCTCCTACACTTTAGGGGTGGAGTCTCTGGTTTGGGGATTTGGGGTTTTTTTTTTTTGGAAGGATCCTTGAACCCACCCTCTTCTGTCCTTAGTGCCCTCCCCGCTATCACCGAAATAGCATTGTTCATCAGCGTCTTTGGGCTGAAAAAGAAACCTTTCTGATACGTTCATGGTGGGAGCATAGGATTGAAGGTTGGAGGAGCAAGGGACAGCTCACCATTCCTGGAAGAAGAAAGGACATCTTCAGCCTTCCACAGTAACACTGCATTTGGTGGAGGATGTCATTTTTCCTGTTAGGGTAATTATCACTCGAGTCTGGGATGATCAGCGTTTTATTCAGTGCTTTGTAATAAAATATATTTTAGAATAAGATCAAGACTTAAAAAAACGTTTAGGGGAGGATTGGGGTGGCCAAACTACTAAGGCAACGCAGGGCTATTTTGCAGCCTTGCAGACTGTCAATCCTAAATTTCGCTTTTATTTTGGTTATTACGGTAGCATCTAGCGGAAGGAAGTAGGCGGGGATATGTAAATAACAAGTGCTGTCTGCCGTTAGGGTGCCAAGCTCCTGAGTGGAGCATTCTGGGAGGGATTCTTTTTTTATTATTATTATCAGGGATTTTGCAGCCAAATGTCGGGGGTGGGGGGGGGAATGTCTTTAGTAACTGCGAATACATGTAGCGATAGAAATGGGAGGGTCTAGATAATTTCAGATTGCTGGGGTCCGCGCGTTATTTACTCACCCTAGACGAAAGCGGCCTCCTTTGCCCTGAGTAAGGAATACGCAGACAGTTTCTTTTATCGTCAGGTAGGATAATCCTTACCTGTTCCTCTTTCGGGAGGGCAGATCGGAACATGATGATTGGAGCTTGCATGACGGGTGATTAACGTCTCTGCGTGGCCGGGACTTGCAACACCTCGGTCGCTCCTGTCTGATTCTGCCTGGCGATCCCATTTTTTAGTCGGTAGAAACGGGTAGATTTTGGTCGTCAGTGATGGGTTTGTTGCTTGTTTGTGTGTTGTCGATCCTTCTCAGAAGTGTCTATCTGTCAATGACCAGGATCTTCGGCTGTGAGTCGGAACTGAGGTCTTTTCTCTGGCTGTAGGGCAGTGGTGTGGGTGTCTCCAGATTTGGAGTAAGTCCCTGTTCCTGTATCTCCTACTTGGTGTCTCACCCTTCCACTCTCGCCGTGGCAGATCACTGTTCCTGTAGCTCCTAATTAGTGTCTCACCCCTTCCCTCTCGCCGTGGCAGAGAGGACCACCGGCTGCGGAAGGTGGGCACGGCTTCCCCGGGGGCGACGTCAGGGGTGTGGTGAGAACCCGCAGCTGTGCTTGCTAGCACGCGGCCGGAAGGTGCTCAGAGGGAGTTTGGAAACACAATTGGGCCTAGTGCGGACGCGCCAGCAGAGTCTGAAGGGCTGACGAGTGTTCGCGAGGTCCAGTTTCCTCGCGCAGGTCAGTGTTATGTACGGGAAGATTCTCTGTCCTAAATGATGGAGCCCAGGCCATCCTAAATAAGCAAAGGCGTCCAAGGTGATGCCTCACCACATGAAACCAACCTTTCCCTCCGCGCCTGTGCTCTCTGGCAGCCTTTCATCTTGAGGGTTTATTGGCTACTTACTGAGCACCTAACTGCATGCAAAGGCACTGTGGTACGTACGCACTGTGGGAGTCGTGCTGAACATGATGCCTGCTCAGCCTCAGCTATCACAGATCCTGTGGCTCCTGGGGTCCGGCGGTGTAGCTGGAGCAGAATTGGGGGGTAGACTGTGCTGGAAGCAAGGAAGGTGGACATTGCGGGTCGTGCTTACAGACTAGTCAGGAAGGTCACATCCCACGGCAGTCTGGCTGTCGCCCGCACCCACGGGTGGGGTTCGCTGATTGCTGAAAGCGGACTTTTTGTTTTTCAGAAACACTGGGGGCTAGTTGCGCCACAGCTATTATCAGAAATCATGTAAACTCCACAGATGAATTATATTTAAAAACAGAGGCGTAAAAAAAAAAAAAAAGAAAAAGAAAAAGAATCCCAGAGGTAATATATGCAAAACTCTTTACTTCCTGATTTATTTTTTGTTTCTTTTTTTAGATTGTAGGAATTTTTTTTTTTTTTTTTATTTTTACTGAGTGTAGTTGATACGCAGTGTTCCATTAGTTTCAGGTTCCTGATTATTTTCCACGTTTTAGTGTCATGTGCTCTGGAACTTATTTACATGTATTGTGTCTGTATAGTGGCGGTGCTGTATAAGGATGGGCCAGTACGTGTGTTTCTCTTCCCAACTCATAGAGACACCAAGTTGACATTTTGAATTCGGCCGGGTAAGAATATTTACACCCCAGAAATTGGCGAACGCTACATATCGGGCTTTGTTGGTTGTCTAGATTTAAGAAGGTGATGGAGGAAATGTTAATAATGCATGTTAAACTGAAAACTCTCACGCCTGTTAAATTGTGAATGGCACCCAAAACGAAATTCCCCCCAGAAGTTGCAGATTATTGTCAGATTCAGCAAATAAGTTCGTCAAGTCATTGAGGAAGGAGTGAAATCTTCACACATCCCCAGTGTTTCATTTTCGTCTTACTCAAAAATGTGAATTAAATATCAACCAGCATTCATACTGGAAATACCTTGGAGTTGGGACACAACTCGGTCTATGTAGTCATGAATACAAGAGTGGAATTTACAATTAAGAATATTGTATGTTTTATTATTTGTAAGTTCTGTGTTACACATCCTTTGAATCAGTAAGATTTATAATAAACTTACATACATACATAAACGCATACTATTTTTGGAGAACTGGTAGTAGTGGTTTTTTTTTTTGTTTGTTTTTGTTTTTTGTTTTTTAAGATCTTACTTACGGGACGCCTGGCTTGCTCAGTGGGTTAAAGCCTCTGCCTTCAGCTCAGGTCATGATTCCAGGGTCCTGGGATCGAGCCCCACATCAGGCTCTTTGTTCAGCAGGGAGCCTGCTTCCTTCTCTCTCTGCCTGCCTCTCTGCCTACTTGTAATCTCTGTCTGTCAAATAAATAAATAAAATCTTAAAAAAAAAAAAAGATTTTACTTACCATTTTTGTGAAGTTAGCTCATCAACCAGGATATGCCAGTCACGGAAGACAAATTCTGCTTGAGTCTATTCATATGAGGTACCAAAGGTAAGCAGAGTCGTAGAGACGGAAGGTAAATGATGACTCCCAGGGGCTGAGGGGGTAGGGATGAGGAGTTGTTGACAGGGTAAAGCCTTTTAGCTTTGCAGGATGAAAAGAATTCTAGGGATCGGTTGTAAAACAGCATGAATGTACTTATTACTGAATTGTACACTTAAAAATGGCAAAGATGGTGAATTTTATGTATTTCTGACAGGTTAAAAATTAAATAGATGATTTGGAACGCCTGGATAGCTCTGTTAAGCATCTGGCTTTGGCTCAGGTCATGATCCTGGGGTCCTGGGATCCAGCCCTACATCGGGCTCCCTGGGGAGCCCCGCTTCTCCCATTCCCTCTGCCACTCCCCCTGCTTATTCTCTCTCTCTCTGACAAAATCTTTGAAAAAAAAAAAAAACCAACACAAAAATTAAATGACTTAAAAAAAAAAAAAAGACAAAAACCGGTGCCTGGGTGGCTCAGTGGGTTGAGCCTCTGCCTTGGGTTGAGCCTCTGCCTTCAGCTCAGGTCATGATCCCAGGGTCCTGAGATCGAGCCCCGTGTCCGGCTCTCTGCTCCCCGGAGAGCCTGCTTCCTCCTCTCTCTCTGCCTGCCTCTCTGCCTACTTGTGATTTCTGTCTGTCAAATAAATAAATAAAATCTAAAAAAAAAAAAAAAAAACCAGCAGTGGGGAAAAGAGGAATTAGTCAATAAAGGTTATTAGAAAATTGAGTAGCCATCTGGGGAAAAATAGGGATCAATACCTTACACCACTATTACCAATAGATCAAAGGTGACAGTGTAAAAAAATACAAGCATAAAAGAACTGAAAGAAAACTTGGCATTTTTAACCTTTTATCTTGACTAATTTCAGACCTACAGAGAAGTCACAAAATTGTTCAGATCTCCTGTATAACCTTCATCCAGCTCCTCCAAATGTGAGCATCTCACGTGGCCACGTCATGATTAGCGAAACCAGGAAATTAGTGTTCATGCCATGCTATGACCTCATCCTCAGCTCTGATTGGAATAGCTTTCCTCCTAATTCCCCTTTTCTGCCTCAGCCTCTAAATCAGGATTTCACATCCCATTGACTTGTCACTCTTAGGCTTTTCAAGCTGAGACCGTGGCTCAGTTCCTTCTTTTTCTGCCTTTCACCGTCTTGACGCATTTGGAGAGTCCTGGTGAGTGGTTTTGCACAATGTGTCTCCATTCGAATTTTTTTTTAAAGATTTTATTTATTCGACAGAGATGACAAGTAGGCAGAGAGGCAGGCGGAGAGAAGGGGAAGCAGGCTCCCCGCTTAGCAGAGAGCCCAATGCGGGGCTCGATCCCAGGACCCTGAGACCATGACCTGAGCCGAAGGTAGAGGCTTAACCCACTGAGCCACCCAGGCACCCCTCTCCATTTGAATTTGTGCAGTGTTTTCTTATCGTTAGATCGAGGGTGTGCATCTGTGGCAAGAATACCACAGCAGTAAATAGTTTGGAGTGAAGAGGACATTGCTGGGTGTGAAAACAAAACACAAGTCTGGAAAGAAAAGCCCGATGCATTTAAATATGTATTAAAAAGGTAAAAAGTATGCATGGTAAAAAAATCATAAGCGAAAGCTAACATAAATGACAATCTAGGGAAAATAGAATTCATATTGCAGAGAAAGGGCTAACCCTGAAACACAAAAGTCTACAAATCTGTAAGAAATACACCAGTAGTCCAATAATAAAGGACAGAAAAATCATATGGATCTTTCACAGGAAGGAAATACAAAGATCTCTCAAATATATGAAAAGATGCCTAGACTTATTCAGCATAGGAGAAATGCAAATCATGTTTAACTTAACTTGTAATGCCCAAATAATGTCATTAAAGAGTTGAAGAGGGCATGGGTTTAGGGAAAACAGGCCTCACCTCTTTGTTGGTGGAAGTGAAAACGGGTGACACAGAGCCCAATTTGGCAATAGCCACAAAAATCAAAAACTAATTGAAACCACAAATCCTCATACCCTTTTGACCTAGGATTTTTTTTTTAAGACTTTATTTATTTGACAGAGAGAGATCACAAGTAGGCAGACAGGCAGAGGGAGAGAAGGGGAAGCAGGCTCCTCGCTGAGCAGAGCCCAATGCGGGGCTCCATCCCAGGACCGCGGGGCTCAATCCTAGGACCCTGGGATCATGACCTGAGCTGAAGGCAGAGGCTTAAACCACTGAGCTAACCCAGGCACCCCTGACCTAAGACTTTCACCACTAGGAGCTAGCTCTGCCTTTTTGCACGTAGGTGCGATGTGAACATGATTATTCTTCACAGCTTTGCTTGAGTTTGCAAATGATGTCTGTCACCAGGAGATTGGTGAAATTATATTACAGTGTAATACTCAGCAGCCAAGAAAGAAAGACTCTCGAAGAGGGGTCCTTTCCCTCCCTGGCTCAGTGGGAGGATCCTGGGACTCTCGATCTCAGGGTCATAAGTTGGAGACCCAAATGGGGTGCAGAGTTTACTTAAATAAAAAATAAAAATCCAATCTCCATGGGTTAAGTGACAAAAAGACCTTGTGGCTTCCATCCGTGTAAAAAGGAAACCATGCGCCGTGCCCATGTATAGAAGGAGTCTCGAGGTAACTGGGAAGACTGGTGTTGAGGGAGATTTTCTCCAGGGGCTCTTGTGAACTTTGCAGACTCTTGAGACACACACACTATTTAAAAAGACAAAACTAGGGGCACCTGGGTGGCTCAGTGGGTTAAAGCTTCTGCCTTTGGCTCAGGTCATGATCCCAGGGTCCCTTCTCTCTCTGCCTGC